GGGGGGGGGGCAGGACTGGTGGTGTCCAAAAGCAGTAGACATTTTCGTCAATACAAAAGAGACGAACACTTAATTACTTCAAAATAAGGGGTATAAGATACATCATTTCATCAATACAAGAAACATAAGATACTTGATTACTTAAAGACAAGTTGTTTTTTTTCGTTTGTTTTTGTAAAGTGCTTTACGGCGCTCGCAACTGCATAAGGTCATATGAGCGCGCGGGACACACCTAATATTTTCAGTTGGTAGGAAATTTGGAATTTTGCCCGGGTGACGGTCGAAGCCTACTCTTATCAATTTTAGACCACAAAGGGATCTTTAACGTGCGCAACTTGCACACGGGCCCTCCGAGATTTTTCGCCCTTGTACGAGAATGCTAGGTGTAGACCTTTCCTACCAGAAGATCAGGGGTGTGGCAGGAAGACAGCAGTAAGGAGGAGCCAAGGAGTAGCAGTAGAAAGTCTGCAGAAAGAGTCAGGAGCCCAGAGGAGGGGGCAAAGAGGTGAGGGGGTGGGGGTAGAAAGTGGAAAAGAAAGCAGACAACAGAACATTGCAAGAGAGCAGGAAAGGAGGTGAAAGGAGACAATTTTAGAGTAGAAAATTTTTCGATCGCTACCCGGATTCGAACCCGGGACTTTTTGAATGAGAGGCCAATACCTTAACCTCTAGGCCACAAGAGCCCCCTAAAAGACAAGAGAAATAAGATACTTCATTACTTCAAGACAAGGGAAATAAAATTTTAATATTTTAAAATTTGTGTGGATAGGGGTGTGATTGGCCGAATACAATGTTGTTAAATTTTTAAAAATATATAATTATGATTGTATTTTGTTAACCAGATCTATTCTAATCATGTTCAAAGATCTGCGTGGTTTTCTTTATTATTCGGTCAAATTTCATGTTGCATGTTGCAGTTTCAAGACCAGGAGCAAAAAATGTGTGTGTGTGTGCCTAAAGAAAGGTACCAAAAGTCGGATTTTGACCATTTTAAATTAAGGATTCTACCTTATAGAAAATCCAAAACTAAACACAGGGGTCTTTGAATTTAGAAGATATCTCAAGTAGTTTTTGAAATATTGCACATTTTGTGAGGTAGGGTATAAAAATACAATTTTGAGAAAATGAGCTTTTAAGTCTAAGGCCGGTCCCAGAGTGGCTCTGTTGGTCTGACCTGTAGCTCGCCAGGCGCACGCGTCTACGTGTGAGCACAGCCGCACTGTGTGTTGGCTTCTGTGTCTTAGTGAACGCTCTCTGCGTGCCAGCACAGCCGCGCTAGGCTAGAAGCACACAGGCCTACGAATGGAAACGAACAGTCGAAACAAGGTCAACCTCTCGATTCGAAATTTTAATGTAGGATAAAGTGCATTTCTTGGGATTTTGTGGTCAAGTGTTGATGCTAGTACCCATATCTAATAGTAAAGCACCTAATAATACTCATTTCTTGCTTATTTTGATGATCTGTGAAGAATTTCAGTCTAAAATAAACTCGAAGCGAGGCTGCGTGCGACACATGTCCGACGTGTTTTACAACTTTGTTGAATTGCAATGTCTGACTCGTCGCGCTGCTCAGCTGACAACAAACAGACCATACAGCGACGCTGCTCAGGCACACGATAATGTATACGTTCATTTGCACTGTGCGAGCTAGGTGAGCTGCAGGTCAGACCTACAGAGCCACTCTGAGACGGGCCTTACAAACGTGAGAAGACATACAAACTTTTTAAAAACGATTTTTTAAATGTATTGATCCATGGAAAATTCATTTCCAATTTGGCATTCAGCTGACATCAATATTATGTATGGAATTCAATGTTAAAACATAATAGGGGAGAGAAAACGTGCTTCAAGAATAGATTTTAACACCTTTTAGAAGCAGATTGTATTGTTTGTTTCTATACTACCCAACCCTAAATTAAAAAAAAAAAATATTTCGAAGTCAAATCAATGAAAACCCCTTGAGCACATTGTATATTTTTATGGAAACACATTTTAGTCAAAAAGTTATTTTTGTCATTATCAGCCTGTAGCTCGAAACGGTCTGGGGCGACTTTTGGTACCTTTCTCTAGGTACACGCAAATATAAAACAGTCTCACGATAATGATTAAGAATGTGTAAAATTATCAAAATCGAAACGATTTAAGGGGGTTGCTACACCCTCAATGTCAAAATTCGGCTCAAAATGATGGAATTTGAGCTATAGGCATTTTTAGCTTTCTCAGCCTCTTCTACAACTATTTCATGGCATGAGAACCCCCAAAACCGTATTTCTTCCCATACCGGGCATGTGTGTAACCCCATTTCCTCATAAACTTAGTATTTTTTTTTCTTTTTCGGTCATTTTCTCAAAACGCGACTTTTCTCTATACTTTTTAAAATAACTCCTCCACTTTTCATCTAATCTTCATGAAATTTTCACAGAATGAAGAGAAGAGGTAATACTAAAAATGTGTATATGAAATACATTTTTGTTGGTGGTGTTTGGAGTTTGGATTTTTCACCACAGATTTTTCACAAACTTGAATGCTACCTCAGAAAAAAATTCATTAAAAATGTTTTAATTCGTTTAGGAAAAAAAACAACAGACATATTTTTAGATCTAATGTTTGTGAACACGCATGCAAAAAACCCAATTAACTTCCATGAGCGATAAGTGCGGTATTCATTACGTGAAACATGCCAACAATATCCAATATGACCTCCGTATCCATGGAAGCGAAACTTTTTTCTCAAGTTTGATTGCGGATTTTTAGACTCCTTACTATGCTTGTTATATGTGTGAAATTTGGTAAAATTCGTTATAGTAATAAGCGAGATAGTCTTCAGATGTAGCCCCCCCCCCCCCCCCCCCCCCGGTAAAAAGAACATTCCTTAGTTTAATACTAAACAAATTATTTTGTGCACAACTGCAGTGTCAGGAGTTTAGTAAAACTTGTCGATATTTGTAGGAGTTAACAATCTCAACGACCTCATTTCTAATGAACAATGTTTGCAACTAGTCTTTTTTAACTTAAAAATCTAATATTAATTCAAATCCCGGCTGCAATTAAGATATGAAAAAGATTAAATCTCTTTGAAATAACCACTAATTGAATATTTTAAAAGTAAAACACACACACACACAAAAATAATAACTTCAAAGAATTCACTTTTCATGTGAAAGAAATTGGAAGTATCTATTTCCAAATTTTTATTTCGAAGAAAAATATGACATCCCCGGTTTTATTTTTCATTGTAATCTTTATTTGCTTGCAGTCGAAAGCCTGACCAATTACAGCGTAGGTAAACTCCATTTTGATGAAGAGGGTACTAACTTCGTCGAGTTGAACAGTTTGGCACCCATGAAACTACAGCGGGTTTTTTTTCTGGACTTGGTACTCCCGAATATAATTCACATTATTTAACTTCTAGGCCATCTCGATGTATGTCAATAGGTCATCACACAGGGGACTGACAAGTTGACCACGAATAGTCGGACCTGGTATAACTGGATTTGAACCTTGAAATGTCGCATGTTGGTGTAGATCTAGTTTGGCAGGACCAGAGTTAGATATTGTCCATGTTTAATGTTAATTCTCGCACGCACCACTGCGCATAATGATGTACGTGTACGCATACTTTTGTTTCCCGAATGCTGTTATTAATATTTTTCCATATATATATATATATATGGATATATTTATATATATTACCATTACGTGTTACTTGTGTGAAGAACCGACGTCACTGCACAAGGGGCATCCCCATAAGCGCTCCATCTCCTGAAGAAGCACATCTCGAAGTGTGTAGATGCTGACGGTTCCAAGCAATGTTTGATTCCATAGCCTTCTGCTCCTCCCACTAAATCATGAACTTCTGCAGGCGTCCCATCCAACCCCAAGCTCACAAAGTCACTCAACATGATGGTATTCCGACTCTTCTTGTTCTTTTTCTCTTTTTTTCCCCTGACTGAACGTACAATTTCAGGTTTGTCAGGGCACAGCTTCCCATCAGGTTTTGTTTTCCAAGCGAGCTCATCAGCCCGCTCTTTGCCCTTGACTCCACCATGGCCCGGGGTGAAGATCCACGTAATCTTTTTCAGTGTCGTCTTCTTCAGGAGCTTTGTCCATTCAGCTCTAAGGTTCCCACTTTCAATCTTCCTCAGAGTGCTCTGAGAGTCTCTGACAAAGATCACATGTGCTTGTCAAGTTGTTGTGATCCTTTTGAGAGCCTGAGTGATTGCCTCTATCTCCATTCTCATGTTTGATGTAGTCATATCGTATGCTCTCTGCTGTTCCTGCACCAATCTGCCACTCACTCTCGCTGAGAAGCCCCATCCAGATTTTTCCCAGATCCATCCGTGTATACAACCATATCTCCGTGCTGTGAGTTTTCTTCAATCAGTTGTCGTATCTCAGCATCTGTCGCCCCCTGCAGCCACTCTCTACGTTCTCTGTTCCGCGTAATCACTACCTTCCCAAAATATCCCTGCTATCTCTCTGATACATAAGAAGCAGTAGCCTTTGTTACATTCCCGAAGCCGCCATGACCTTCACTGCATTCAAGCCCTTCTTTGCCCTTTCCACAACACCATCTATGTGATCTTTGAAGGGTAGACAACAATCGAAAGCCACTCCCAGATACCCCATCTTCTGACATCTTTGAATATTCTGTCCATTTTCCGTCAGCTCTGGGACATCTGTCTTTACTATCTGACTGTTTAAAAAGCACCACAGTGCTGCAGCCTTCTGAGGATTGATCATTGTGGTTGATTCAGCACACCACTCCATGATTTTCTCAACCTTTTGCTGTAGTTCATGTGTCATTTTCTGCCGATCCCGTCCTTGCCTGTAGGCCAAGATGTCATCTGTAAAAGTTAGTATTCTCCGTGGCCCAACGCTGTTCAGCGTTGCAATACTGGCAGTGTAGACATTGAACAGTATGTGCGATAAAGGAGAGTCCTATGGGAGTCCTGGTCATTTATATAATATATATATATATATATATATATATATATCTATAATTAAATTTATATATAATGTATATTTAATAACGTTGGACTTTTATACTGTTATAAATACCGAAATTCCACAGTCTTGACCTATTTCTTTGCCTTTTTTATCTTCATACAACAATGATGATGATGATGATGATGATGATGATGATGATGATGATGATAAAATACTTACTTGTTACTGTTAAAGATTTAGTCCCCTGAAGTAGACAACCCAGTGTTGACGTCCACTTACAGACACAAACCGTGCCATTATCAGCTGTCCTGACAGACAAAAACTCAATCTTATCCTCGTCATCTTGGTTTATACTGACTCTGTTGTTAATGCACAACAAGTCAATGTGTTCACCAATCACCCCAGTGTCGCTGCAAGTGACGGTAACGTTGTCTCCGGGGACGATTTTGTCATCTCTCATTTTTCCGTTGATGGTGAAGACTGGGTGACTTATCACGTGATCTGGTGGGGAAGAAGAAGAAGAAGAAGGTGATCTGGTGGGGAAGAAAAAGAAGAAGAAGAAGAAGAAGAAGAAGAAGAAGAAGAAGAAGAAGAAGAAGAAGGAGAAGGAGAAGGAGAAGGAGAAGGAGATGGAGATGGAGAAATAAAAAAATGTTGAAATGGTAACGATTGTGGATCACGGCGATAACGTTTTGCTCTGAAGGAGGCGTTTGATTATAAATAAATGTAAAATCAGAAAAAGCTGCTTTTGTTAAAGTGTTGGTTGATTGTGTCGAGCCTGTTGGGGCCAGAGTCAAAGAGTGCACGGTTTTCTTTTTAAGTCCTGTACTTTGTTACTAGTGTGTTCACATTGTTCTAAAATGTGGGTTGGGTGTAGCAGAGGGTGACATTCCAGTTCAGAGAAAAAGGGTTAGGGAGGAGACTACAGCATCAAAGGTACTTAAACAATTTCTTCGTGATCTGCCCAAGTTGCCATCTCACTATTGCCGAAGGATTCCAGTAAGTTATACTTGGAACCTGTTTTCCAGAGCTTACAGGCAGTGTGCCGCCGTTTGTATAAAGAAAAGTATGAGTGTGTGTGTGTGGGGGGGGGGGGGAGTACTTTCTACCTTCAAGTTTAAAGAGGAGATCAATGCTATGGACCTGTCATTGTTCCATCCTCGAAAAGATAGGTGTGATCTGTGTGTGGGCTTTGAGGAGGGGAATGTGGAAGAGGGGGCATACAAAAAAGACAGCAGCATGGGCAGCCCCAAAATCAAATACATCAAAATGGACCAGCAATCAGTTCTGCTATATCCACGCACCAATGCTTCTGCTTTGTACTACAAGACGAAATTGAATGTACACAATTTCACAGTATAGGAACTAGAGAGCAAGGACTGTGTATGTTATGTCTCAAATGAATGCGAAGGTGCTCTGGCTGCAAAATTTTGCTCCTTGTGTGGCTGATTTTTTGTTTTCTGATTTGACTCCAGATCATTATATTCAGATGGATGTGGTTGTATCAGAACTGCAAAGTCACAATGAGTTCTGCACTGTTACATTTAAGCTCTGTCAATGGTAAAACTGTAACATTAAAATTCCTAGAGAAGGGCTATACACAGATGGAGTTGGACAGTGTTCACAGCACATCTACTACCCAGCTGATTATGTCAGGCTAATGGAAGAAAGTAGGAAAGTGAAGCCATATGTAGTCAAGTATTTGACTCATTTTATCTTTTCTGATTTCATCAAACTAACCAACCAGAGTTTACACACCAGATGGTCAATTTAAATACAAACTGAGATTTGATGATGACTGGTCACATCTGCCTTTGAAGCACGGCGAGTCCACAGACATTCTCCATAAAGACATGAAGGGACTGCCTCTGTACCAGGGTAAAAAGTTTAATTCGTCCATAGAGAACTTTAATAACACATGCAAGAAATAAAGTCTGGTGTGCCATCTGACTACCACAAGTTCTATGACAATCTAGAATTGAGTACGTCACCAGTGCGCAAGTCAAAACCCACGTTTAAGTCTAATTTGATATGCAGTGTATTGTTTATGTAGTTTATGTTTAGCTAACCAGAGCTTTAGCTTCATTGGGTAGAGCATTTTAAAGCCTCATAATGGTGCTTGGACAAGAGGATAATTCATTTCTGTTGACACTGGATGCTTCTATGGCATACCTCATCTTGATGACTTTCTATGTAAAATGTGTTATTTAATTAGGCCATGCATTAGTTGGGGATGCATTATATGAGGTTTAGTTGAGCTTTTAAAAAAAATCATATTACTTCTAGAGTCTTCCAACCAAGTTAAACCATGTTTTTAGAGTTAGAAGCATTTCAGTTTCTTCTACTGGAGAACTGATGGGTCGCTTTTCATTCTTGCTCGACTTCGAGCCAAGACCAAAATCAACAAACCAAACAAGAATACGAGACCTTTTCTTTGCCGGTGATGCTGCTGTTTTCGATCACAATGAATCAACCCTACAAATAATCCTGTGTTTAAGAAGAATGAGATGGCTGGGCCATGTCAAGAGAATGGACGACAACCGGATTCCGAAGCAATTTCTCTATGGACAACTTGCCCATGGAAAGAGACCAAGGGGAAGGTCAAAATTGAGGTACAAAGACATCTGCAAAAACAGATTATCTAAGCTTGGAGTAGATGTCAGCATCTGTGAAGAAGTAACCGAAGACAGGAAAACATGGAGGAAAATGATAATTGAAAGAACTATTATGCTAGTGACTAGAGAGCGAGCACTGCGACAGAATCTGTTCGTCGACACCTGGACGGTTAGAAATCCAAAACTGAGCGGTCTATCCGTATAACTCTGGTTTAGGACTTAAAGTAATGAAATTTCGGCAAATTTGGTTTAAATACTTAAAAGTAGAGTCATGTATTCCAGTCTAGCGCATTTAAAGATAGTAAATCCCCATAGGAGCCTTTGAATTCTGTTTTTTGTCTCTCCTGCAAAATTTACGAAATCGGAGTTGGACGGTTAGAATTCTCCGCCGACGATATATAATATAAAATAATATATATATATATATATGTTGTTCATGTTAACAACCCTACAGGTATACATTTCATTATATTATCATGTGTTACTTTGTCAGATAATCAGTAGGAGTTCCATAAGAGATCAACTGCAATGTATCGTTTAATCTTATTGGAAGCTTTTATTCTCCTAGTTTTACAAGCCATAATTTTCCTTGTTAATTTGAGATTACGCCGCCCGTAAAGTATAGATGAGAACAGCACTGAACACCATTTGAATCGCTAATCGACTGACAATAATAGACTTTTTTCTCAATCTATTATAGGGAAACTTGTAACAGTATCCTGTCTAATGTTTTCAGCTCCATTTTTAATTCCTTTTTTTATTTTTTTTGGGAGAAAATGCGATCATCACTTTCAATTTTCTCAGTGTGATGCCTCGTACTAAGTTAGATACACACAGATGGTCTAGCGCAACAATCGTACACTGAAAACAGCAACCGACCATGTTGGATGTTTATGACACTACTGAATCATAACTTTAATTGCTCATCCTGAAGCAGGGGCGAAGCGTCTATATAATCAAATAATCACTGCTTAACTTTCTAATTTTGAAACATTGTCGCTGTCAAATCCATCCTTAAACGTAAACCTCTTAAATTAAATGTAAAAAGACGTTCGTAATCAACAATGAATAGTATGCCTAACATTCAAAACGGTTTCACGGCCACAGAAATAGCCTCCTCACCCCTCTCGGGCCACTCCATAAGCAGTCGCAAGCTTTGATTAAGTAAGCTTAAAATGAGTCTGGAAGAGTCTACCAATAGAATTGAAGGGAACATGTAAATAGCAGTCCAAGCTGTTTCATTGCCACATATACCCTGTTCACCCCTTTGGGGCCACAGTTATGGTTGACCCATTAATACAATTTAAAAGATCACTATTTGTAACTGGACTAAAAGAACCTAATATCTGTCCAGTAAATTCTGAAAATTCCAAATTTCCGTTTGGCTCTAGGTCGAGAGAAGGGCGTATGGTATTAATTTTGTCATTGAAAAAAGTCACAAATAGACTACAAAGTTCGACATCTGATGTTGCAGAGGGGAGAGGAGATATTGTTTCTTTTCCCAGAATAGCATTGGTAGTCTGAACGAGTTGTTTGGGTGATTTAACATCTTGTAATTCATGTAGATAGTATCTTTTCTTATTTTCGATGACTGAGTTGACTTTGTTTTTGTGGTTAATAAAGATGACTCCGTGAACTTGAAGTTTTGATTTCCTCCAATTTTCGGACTAGATGTGTAGCGTTTAAGACCTAATTTTATGTCCTTTCAATGAAGAAATGGGCCGTATCAAGCATATAACATATTTGTCTTTTTCCCTGAAAGTTCTACTTAAGATCACTAGTTACCCTTAATTACGAAAATTAGATTCAAGCAGTTCTTAGAGAAATCTTCGAATGAAAACTGTCTCTGGTGAATGTTACGTTTTCATACCTAAAAATTGCTGATTTTTTAACAAAAAAGCCCCACATTATTTCAGCATAATATCATTTTATTGGATATTTTCTGCCTAGTCCAGGTTCGGCAACCTTTTCACCGCCGACTTAACTCATCTTACCTATGATGTGAAATAAACAAAGCTATTTATGGTGTCGGCAATAACGGGTATGCGCATGTTCAAGTTTTCAGGAGAATTGCTCCCCCCCCCCCCCCCACACACACACACATGTAACATTTTCATCTTGCCAGGAACAGGGTAGGAAAATACACCTTGTGTTTTCAAATGTAGACAAACACCCCCAGAACACCTGCAAACCACCCTTGGCTTTGAGGAGGGGGGGTGGGAGCAGTACACATTGATCTACACCAGTGCTCCGATTTAATGCTAAAGTTAATTTCAGAGGGAGTGCAACTCCACTTTCTACCCACGTCTCACTGGAACATACCTAGGACATTTGGAAACGGGGGAAACGCATAAAATGTGACAACTGGATCTTTTCATTACATTGTGCCTCCCCCCTCCACATTGTTCAACTATTATTTTTCTACTGACCCAGCTAGCTGTAAGTCCAAATGACAATTATTGCTTGAGTAAAGATTATAATCAAACTTATGAGCAGATAGACAAACCATCAAATTCTATAACCTTTATGGACAGCAATTGGCTAAAACACGCGTTATTCATCTCAAATTATTATTGAAAGACATCAAAATATTCTTTATAGCCTCCCCCTCCATCAATCCCCCCTCCTTCCACCTAGCAGGGCGCTTCTTTTAAAACGTGCCGTTATGTACATGTATCTCTACACTTACCAGAGGCCATGGGCAACATATTTTCTGTAGACACGGTGTGTCCAGTACTGTTTAACCAGACGATTGTCCCTGTAGGGTTACCAGGATGTTCGAGATTACACTGACATGTGAACCACGCTCCCTCTCTGATGTAGTCACTCTTGAAGTTGTCTGCCATATCTATGACCACAGGGCAGGACGTTATAGTCACATTTGGGTACGCTGAAAAAAAGCAACAAACTCAATCCACTATTGCTGATGATGGGGCAAAATAAAATAATGCATAAATATTATCCAGATTTATCCCTCCGACTAATTTAATACCCATATGATTTCCAGGGTACATTCGAGCTCAACGTATCGGCACATTTGTTTGAAGTAGGTTACTCGATCCCAACACGTTTTGGCGGTATCTATTGTTGAAGCAAATAATGGACGAACAACATTTTGAGCGAGTGTCTGCCTGGTATCGAGTACACCAACGATACTCGAATGAACCAAAGATCTTAGGCCTACATATCAAGATAGTTATCTCCTCTTTTAGAGCATTTTAAAAAAGTGCCCTCAAAATTATGTGGCGCCCTCTTCGACAAGGTGCGGACTTTGCGATCAGAGTTGCCCTACTTGTTTGAAATACAATAAAAGTGAAACCTACAAACTATGATTTACTTCTTTTATGCACAAGAGCAGCGTGGGGATGCCAGTCAAATTTGTTGTCGATCTTGGTGTAACAATCAACAACAAACTTGACTGGCATCCCCATGCAGCTCTTGTGCATAAAAAAGTAAATCAAATAATGTTTCTTTTAGGGAAATTAGAAAGTTTCCGTGTTGACAATAAGATTATGTCCCTTTTTTACCAGTCAATAATTGAAAGTGTGCTATTATTTTGTATTTGCTGCTGGGGTGGGAATTGTAAGGTGAAAGATAAAGAAAAATTTGACAGAAACATTAAGAAAGCCAGCATTATAAACGTACCATCACACCCCTTTTACACACAAATTGTAAGATCGCGTAGCGGCAGATATGTACCCCCAAAAACGAAGAAAGAAAGATATAAAAGAAGTATTTTACCATCTAGCATAAGTCTTTTGTCAAAATGAGCATAGATGTGTGTTGCTCTTAGAGTATGTATCTATATATAACTCCAAAGGTCTATTATTTAAATTCCTGTGCGTGGTTGAATTATGCCTTTGATGTAAATGTGCATTTTATCAGCTTTACTTCTCCTTTCATATTGAATTTTAATGAGAGCAAATATATTATATATTTTAACTTTTTTAATGTATACCTGCATTTGTTTTTACAGTCCTGTACAGCCAAGGAAAATGTCCCTTTGGGATAATAAAGTACTATCTATCTTATCTTATCTTATCTATTTCTACTCTCTTCTGAAGAAACGAAAGAGAGCTTCAAAACAAAATCTGAACCTATGCGCTGACTTCCGCGGACACTTTTTTGGCTGAGTAAACCAATTTGTTATGTACGATCTTTGAATGAACGCAATACATAAAATGCGCAAAGACGCTCTCTCCACGACTTAATGAGTTGTTATCCCGACTACATTTGTGGTGGGCGATCTTGGTTCGAAAATATTGATTTTTCTTTACATACTTGCAAGACGAGTACAACCCACGTGGATATTCCCTCCTTGACTTCGGGGTAATCAGGACACCAGTTTGCGCACCATCAATGTCGCCTGTGAATCCTTTCATTGCCACCTCTTCAAGAGCTTCAACAGCCCTCACCCGAATATATTTGTCAACCAATGGCGTCACGTGGGTGGCAGACAAGGTGGTGCATAATTGGAAAGTGAGCAAATGGGCAATAGGCTTAGTAGCTACTATTAAGATTTCTAGAGAAAGTCAATTAAAATCTGCAAGATATCCCGTGATCTACATCTATCGATATTTAGAACTGTTTCTAGATGAAACCGAATAAAAGCTGCAACGAAGTGAAACAATACTAACTTCTCAATATGCTCGCAATCTGAGAAAATTTAAAGGTTTTTAATTACTTAATGCAGCACCAGGACTTGCTACATAATAAAGGGAGACAACAGTTTCGATACCCATTCTTCACTGAGTTACCGTAATAGTTTAGTGGATAGGCTAGAGGAAACTTGGATCACATTCTTAGCTTGCACCAAATTGGTGCTGCAAAGAGGAGTTTCATGCATATTTCTTCTTGTGCGGGAAGAACGATGCCTAGATTTCTCTACAGTGACAATATTACTTTGGTGCAAAAGGATTTGCTTGCTCCCAGCAGACACTACCGCAAGCGGTGCCACGAGCATAAACCATCCTCGCCGTCTATCTCTTCAGAGGCGCAGCCAGCGGGTGACGTATCGCAAGGATGTAGTAATGTCGATCTAGAACACTGACTGGTTTAGAACAATTAGAAAAGGGGGGAGGGGGGTGCGAAGCCAGGGTTAGGTGCAGCACTCTCACAAATTGCACCAATGGCGCCTCGCCCGTGTTTTCAACTGCGATCCATGTCTTTCTCATTGAGCTTTTACCCCGATATTTCTAGCATATGACGGTAGTTGTGTGTGTGTGTGTGTGTGTGTGTGTGTGTGTGTGTGTGTGTGTGTGTGTGTGTATGTGTGTACGTGTGCGTGCGTGCTGGAGTTTTAGTTGTTATTGTTGCAGCTGTTGTTGTTGTTTTCGTAAAATTTGTTAAATAGTCTAAAAATGTGCGTTTTCTGACTTTTGAAAATATGTCAGTTGAGTTAAGTGATAATTCTGCGCTACAGAGCGCTTAGAGCTTTCTAAATATTAGGGGCCATGTTCATTTCTATTATTACATGTATTAATATTAATATAAATTATTATTATTGTTATTATTATTATTATTATTATTATTATAATTTTTTTATATTATTATCATCATCATTATTATTATTATTATTATTTTTATTATTATTATTATTATTGTTATTATTGTTATTATTAATACATTTATTACTATTATTATTATTATTATCATTATTATTGCTATTATTTTTATTATTTTAAATTAATACATGTATTACTATCATTATTATTATCATTATTATTATTATTATTATTATTATTATTATTATTATTATTATTATTATTATTATTATTATTATCATTATTATTATTATTAATGTCATTGTTACTTTTTTTTCATTATTATTGTCATGTTATTATTTTAATCATTATATATTTTTTCGTTATCTTTATTCTCACATCCTTTTCTATGTTTATGTTCTCACAATCCAGCTGTGTATCTCATTCCTTCTTTAATTCCTCATCTCATCACCCTTCTGTTGCTCCTCGTCCGCTTTGTCCTTTTTTATCACATCTATTATTATTGTTTTTCTTCCCTCATCTTATCTTGTTTCATTTCCCTTTAATCCCCGCCTTTTCTTGTCATCAGGTATTCTGTCCTCATTTCCTTTAATTCCTCCTGCCTTAATAAAATAAAGTAATATTTTTTGTAGAGGTTTTACTGCGATCGCTACATACAGCATAAGGTCATATGAGCGCCAGAAGATTAGAGGTGTTACAAGAAGGTAACTAACATAAAAAAGAATGAGGGTAGATAAGGACGATATATCGTCGGCCCAGAGTACAAGTGTCGTAAGTCCATTTTTCATTAAATTTGAAACCACTAAAGCTCTCAAATTTCCATGCATTGTGTCTCCAATAAGTTTGAAGACCCCAAGTACAGTATTTGTTGAGATATCCAGAATCCATTTGTCGTATGTCCAAAGCAGCTTTAAGAAGTAGAGAGTACAACTGTCGGAACTCCATAAGCATTAATTTCGATACATTTTGTTTTGTCGTATCTCCATTTGAGCAAATGGGATGAGAGAGTGCCGTCACGTGATTTTGTGAGCAAAGCAAAATTGCGTCGTCTAGAAGAGGACTGTTCAACGATCAAGAGGCCCTAAAAGGGCATGTTCATTGAATTTGAAGGAGTAGTCTATTCTGATGAGTGTGTCTGCATGTCCAAAATTCTTTAAATTCTATTTTTGTCTTTGTTTTGCAATTAATCATCATCAGAGCACTCTTAACTGTTCTGTTTTTGTAGTGCCTGCATACACATTGTTGGTGCCTCTTCTTTTAACGTACATTGTGGTTCTGTGCCTGGGATTTGAGAGGGAAACAGCCAGTTGTGGCTCTGTCAACATGCAAGGCTGAATGTATTGCTCTCACAGCCGCAGTGCAGGAGGTTTTGAATCTCAGTCAGTTTCTGTATGATATTGGAATTAGTCTTAAAGATAATTTGCCTGTGGTCTTTGAGGACAACCAGGGCGCAATTGCCTTAGCCAACAACCCTGTGAACCATCGAAAATCAAAACACATTGAGGTTCGGTACCATTTTATACGTTCCGAACTAAAACAAGAGGAGAATACTGTCCCACTGGTGAAATGTTAACAGATTTGATGACGAAGCCTGCTACCAAATTTAAGCTGAACAAGTTCAGAGATATCATTTTTGGAAAGTAAATTGTTACGAGACCAGGTGTTGTAGACGGTGATGTGAAAACAAATGTTCTGAAATTGAAATTAATGCATTAATGTGGTTACATTGAAGGCTGTTGTATTTGAGTACTACTTACACTGTATTCAAATTTCTTTCACATTTTTGTGTGTACCGGTATCGTTAACATTACATTTCTTCAAATGTGCTTAGTACACAATGCTTAGTATATTGATCAACGTTTACTACATTTTTTTCAATATTTATGGTTGATGAATGAGTGAATGAATCGTTTTCGATCAAGTGGGGGTGTTGAACTTTTGATCTTACGATCGTTCATGTTATTGTTACGTTTCGGTACTAATTAGCTGTGGATTGTTTTGTACATTCCAATAAAGCAGGGGAGATTACTCTCACTACTTCTTCTTCCCAACCGATTAGCTGTTTGGCCGTTGTCTGCTAAATTTTGTTCCCTCATCATGGCAAGTCAAATCAGATCTACATCTAGATCTAGTCTACAACAATATATTTCCAGTATCAAGTATATTGTCGCGTAGGATCGCTTTCATCCAACGTTGACATTTTTAAAACTTTGTTTACTTCCGTCGCTGTTCTTCTCACCTCCCTTGACCTAATAAATTTCAGAAATGTTTTTTAAGTTAAAAAAACAAACAATTGTTAGTAAAATGAACATTTTCAAAAATTGAGATATGTGAAGCGCACATTGAAAGCTAATTGGCAGTAGAGGAGGGTATATTTCTTTATTTTTGCCAGGGAATTTGTTAAATGCTATTTATAGGAATGAGATGACAATCGGCTGTTTAATGCAGTGTTGCCATTCTTAGTTTTTTACCACTAAATTTTGTGTTTTTTGGGGTCGATGTAGTTTTTTTAGTTTTATTTGCAGCACATTTAGTGGGGTTTTAAAAAATTTGTTTTACTTACAACAATCATATAAAATCGATTAAATAATTTCATCAATCTTTTGTTAAACGTTATAAACCAACAATAAATAAATAAATAAATGCGAAAATGATGACTATAGTCCAAGAACAGTCTGAAATCTGGCCTGTCTAAAGATTATCAAGAATCATAGATGTACAATAGGCCTATATATTATGAATATGTTTGACTGGTCAGAAATAAAGAACCAGCTATTACAGTAAAAAAAAAAAAAAAAAGGAATAAATATGTAATATAAGGCAGATAAAACATTTTTAGTGTTTGTTTGTTTTTTTCGTCCAATTTAGTGGAATTTTTCTTCCAAATTTAGTAGTCTCTTAAAAATCTGGATGGCAACACTGGTTTACTGTGACTCCCACGTTTTGACCTAGTTATGCATCGCTTCCACATTTTCAGATTACGGTCGTGCTGAGGAGGCCTGCTAATCTAGTAAGTCGTAGTTATGTGTCTTATTTCAAAGTTCTTGAACACGTAGTAGACGTGAACAAGGTGTCTGGAAAGGACAATGAAGATTGTTGTTTTTATTGTCAAATGGAATTTTCATTATTACTAAAGATCTACCCTTTTGAAGGGTGCATAGGAAGAAGAGGGATTGTCAACTTTTCACATTTGTGTGACAAGCTAATAAGTGGATATCTCATAATGATGGACTTGTCCACACATAAATCTGACTGAAAAAAAAGAAGCGCCACCAGGTACGCCATGTTTAAAAATACCGAGTTCTATGCAAGAAATGAGAAAGTCAAAGTGCAAAATTGTTTGTTTTTTTCTTCTCAAATGTGAAACCTTTTTATTACCCCCTTTTCCTTTGCCCATTTAGTTTTTGGTTGGACGAGATGGAAAAGTTTGTAGGTCATTGAAGGTGTTGTCTGTTGTATTTTGTTTCATAGGTTATCGCTTGCATCACAATAAGGTCAAATGAAAGATATTACAGGTAGTAGTGCAGCTATAAGATCACCAGGTGGCCACGGGACTACGGATGCCAAGAATCCTGTGTGCCCATGCAACTGCAATGACAGTTAGTTAAGATGTACATCCCTTGCAACACCGTGAGGTTATTTGAGAGACGCCATCTCATATTTCAACATCAGTCTGCCATAGAACATTCACTTCATGTGAGCCAGGTATCAAAGCCCATTGAACCTCTGAAAAAAAATTGGGTTGTTTTTTTTCTTATCGTCCCCTGTGGGATTTGAGCCAAGGAGGACCTTCTGCTCTGCAGGCGAGTGACTTAGCAACGAAATTTAGACTTGATTAGGGAGATTTAGAATTTAATATGGAGATACGACATTTGTACTTTGAGGCATTCAGTTCAATTTTTCAGAAAACTGGGTTTTCATAAAGCAAAAACTGCTTCTCAATTCCACAGGAAAACAGCAATTGGTGAAAACTTTTAAAGTTGAAACATTGATTATACGCACAAACAATGGGTAACAGTTAAATGAATGAGTTGGTGAACGATTTGAATCTGGAGCCATCTCAAACTTTGAAGGCTTATTTCTCAAAACCGGAGTGCGTGGACAGTAGTACTCTGGGCCGACGATATGTTTGATAGGAAAGAAGAAGCAAACCACACCAGAGCACCCGCCAACCACCCACTAATTGTAGTAATAATAATAATAATAAAAATAATC